ATTGCCGATTCAATCACTTTAATTGATTCCCCGACCTTGGCGAGTTTTATGACTTTCTGGAATATCATCTTATTTACGATGGATTTTTGGTACCTATCTACTTATTTTGGAATTTTCTGGAACGCGTGTTTTTTCATACTGTTGGATTATGAATGAATATTGTTTTATATCAAAATAGGTTGTTGTGTTACAGGTAAGTTTGATAGGATGTCGACTGTCACGCCCGTATTCACAAACATTGACGCACAGGGTCACACATGAATCAATCACAGAGCTCTATTCAACGCTATGCGTTAGATTTTCTGCTTCACTTAAGCAAGCATCAATTATTGTGAATACGGGTGTTAGATACTTGCATTGATGCGTTACATAAAGGGCCTTTTTAAGGCGAAAGTGAATAGGCACTTACAGGGCAGGTATGTACCATCCTAGACTACATCTCACTTATCATGAGGTGCGATTGATGCATTACTTCATGGGCCTTTTCAAGGCGAGAGTGAATAGGCACTTACAGGGCAGCTGTATCATCCTAGACTGAATTTCACTTAACATCAGTTGCGATTGTGGTCAAATATGTACCTGCTTTGTTCTACATTAAAAATGGATCTAAAATTCGTTACCAATAAATCGATAAAGTCATTATTCGTATTTATAAATAATCACAGCAAATGTAGAGACGTAGCGAAGCGTTTACGAAAATGTCGTAAAAAATACCTATAATATCGTCTAAAAGACGTCCCTCTCTAAAGTAGACAAACTATTGAAATGTATTATGTAACCTATTTTAAGTCAAATTTCAATTCTATTCTAAACTTACCTTCTTACTTACCTAAGTATTACCTAAAAATTTGGAAATCGAAAACATGCTATTTTTTACCAACACTTCCTTCCAAAAAGTCCCGTATGTTTTTGTTTTTATTAAGCCTGAAGTTGTAACTACCCACCCTGCAAAAAGGGGGTGTAATGTGTTTAGCGCTCAGATCATAGAATTCTATGATCTGAGGTTTAGCGAAAGTTTCAAACTGTCTAATACAGATACGCGCGGGGTCTGAATTTTTAACAACCTCTGTGGTTTAATGGTTTTGTTGAGTAGTTTTTTCAATGTCTGGCTTTTTGTCTAAGTTGTCCTTATTAACTACGGCTTCACTTGGATTGCGGTCTTCTGTCACACAAAATAATTTAGTTAAGTAGGTAAGAATTTTAAGTGAAGCAGCAAATCGTACGCACAGCGTGGAATAGAGCTCTGTGATTGGTTCGTGTGTCACCCTGCGCGTCCACTCACACTGTGAGACCTCATAGTAGTGTTTGTGAATACGGGCGTTAATCAGGAAGTAAGTAACTATCTACTTAGAACTTTACTCGGAGATCGTGAAAGAGGCCTTTAGACTTTTTGATTTGATAACAAATAAAATAATGTTATCAAATCTTAAGGATAAGATATTAAACCTAAGAAATAATGGATACCCCACACATACCTACTTTCACCCTTTATACTTACCATCATATTATATTTTTGCGACTATGTAAGTATATTATCCTTTATAATCTCGCGAATGTAGAGTCTACACAAAATCTGTCGCCTATTCTCAAACCGCACGACAAAGGTCGCGTAAAAAGCCGTCATACCCACGACCCTAAAAATGGCGCCGAGTTTACCCGCGCAAACTTCTAATAACCAATATCGAAGTTGCCCGGTGCAATTGGAAAATGGCGTTACTAGAATGGACTTTGACCAGTTCGGCCCACGAGACGGGAACTAAAAATTGTGTTATCGCTTTTGAAGATATTATGCCGTTGAGGGTTAGCTTGTTACCGTTACGTGATCGTTACAACTTGTGGGTACTTGTGTTCTTGGCAACGCGAGCGTTCTGTGGGTACTTGTGACTGAGAGAAAAAAAGTTATGTTATTATGAGATCAATAAGTTTAAGCTTTAATTATTAAGGTTAAAAATTAAGGCCTTAAAGGATCATTGGGGGAGGCCTATGTTCAGCAGTGGACGTCCTGTGTGGCTGAAATGATGATGATGATGATTATAAGGTTTGACAAGAATTTATTCCGCCCCATCTCAGCTCCAGCCTAATTATGTTGTTCCGAAGTGGTGGTAGGGCAAGTTATAATATGTTTGGGGACATTTTATGTATAAAGTGCATACTATTACTTATAAATAAGTCATTTAAATTTGATTTTTGTCTTTTGCTTTTAGAATTTGAGACCTCATAAGTAGTAGTAGGTAATGTTTGTGAATAAGGGCGTTAATCTACCTACTTAATAAATTTTCAAATAGGTAAGTGGAAAATTACGGAATCTAAAGTTACCTCTAATTAAGAAACTTATTGTTTTGCATATTTACATAAAATTCACAAACAACTGACTGATACACAACACAATAGACACCAAAATTGCGTACTTCAAGGTCTATGTTCAATAATAAATGTTGTTAAAATCAAAGATCTATAAACGTTGTAAAAGTTATTGTCTCAGTGAGAAAAACAATTAGTTCTGCTGTTAATAGCTATTTAAGACTCACCAACTGTGTATTATCATCACGTTTTAACGTTTTTCAGCGAAAAGCCTGAAAATATTTCATTAAAACCAACTAATATTAAATTCGAAAAGATCTGTCTGTTACCTTTTAATGCCTAGAATATAGATTGCTAAACAAAAATGGAAAGGCTTAGGCTTAGACATCTGCATTACGTCGCATAAATAAATTCTTAGGGGGTGAAAGAGGGGATGGTAGTTTGTATGATAGCTAAGAGCATCATCATTTCAGCCACAGGACTAGGGCATGTAATATCGGAAGGTTTTCAATTCCGATATTGGATTCCGATATTAGATCTCAATATCGGAATTCCGATATTAATATCGGAATTGAGTTCATGTGCTATAAAATTCATATTTGGTTATATTCGTAAGAATTCTTGATTGTTTACAATAAAATAATGATTTTAATCAAAATCTTTAATTTGGTACAAAACAGCACTTCATAAAATAATGATTTTAATCAAAATCTTTAATTTGGTACAAAACAGCACTTCATAAAATTGAAGTATTTTAAAACCATTTTTACGTTATGGGTATCCATTGCATTTGGTTTTTTATATGACAAAAGGCAAACGAGCAGACGGATCACCTTATAATGAATGGTTACTGATAATGAGCCTATATGGACTAGCAAATAATTAAAGTGTTTTTGTAAAATCACAGGTATCAAACAAACTTTTACTCCTTCATTATATTGCCCTGTTTTATGTTGGCGGAACGAATTTTAGAGTTATTCAAATCACGTGTTACAAAATTGTAGAGAGTGGTAAAAAATTTGAATATTATTATGCTTGTAATTTGTTCCTTTTTGATTATCGACGAACAACTCACAAAACCACTAGCCAGCCATATGTCAGCCATAGGACGTCCACTGCTGAACACAGGCTCCAATGCTGATTTTCACAATGGCCGGTTGGTGGCGGCCTGCATCCAGCGTCTTCCTGCTACCTTTATGAGGTCAACGGTCCACCTTGTGGTTATGAGTCCTACGCTGCGCTTTCCGGTACGTGGCCTCCACTTCAGAACCTTGCTGCCTCATCGTCCGTCTGTTTTGCGTACTAAGGCAGAACCGTTGGAAGACCTTATCACAATGCTCGAAGACCTTAATCAAGTTTCCCAACAGGTAGGCCTTCGGATGAATATGGAAAAAACTAAGCTTATGTCGAATGTCCATGTTGCTCCTTACCCAGTTTCGGTTAGGAGCTCGATTCTCGAGATTGTTGACAAGTAAGATGTCTATCTCGGACAAACGATCAGCTAGGTAGTAGATGCAATTTCGAGAAAGAGGTAAATCGTCGAATACGAAGACGAAAGTCTTCAATTAGTGTGTGAAACCAGTGATGATATACGGCTCGAAAACGTGGCCTTTGAATATAGGGCACAACGTGCTATGGAAAGGGATAAGCTTGGTGTTTCTTTACGAGATCTAAAGGTCGCTGACATAGCCCGAAGGATTAGCAAGCTGAAGTGGCAATGGGCAAGACACATAGTACGCAAAACTGACGGTCCATAGTCCAGTAAAATTAAAGGGAAAGGGAGTTGAGTGTCGTTCTTTGTTGACCAAGTACCTATGGCAAATGCTAAAATTGATTTAGAACAAGTTAAATTAACCATAAATAGTTAAGATATTAAAATATTTGCAGTGGAACAAAAAGTGATGGTGAGAGACATGAGAAAATCATTGGTCTTTGCCAATCATGTACTTTGGGCTTTGTGGCAGATTGTGGCGAGTTTAAACCCTTTGTTTAAAATCTCAATTTAAACTTTTATCGGATTCCGATATTACGATATTGGGTCGCTCAATATCGGAATTGAAATATCGGATCTCGCAGTCCGAGATTCCGATATTACGAGATTCCGAGATTCCGATATTCATGCCCTACACAGGACGTCCACTGCTGAACATAGGATGATTTATGATTTCCACATCTCCCGGTTGCTGGCAGACTGCATACAAAGCTTTCCTGCTACCTTTATGAGGTGGACCGACGGTCCACCTTGTGGGTGGACGTCCCACGCTGCGTTTTCCGGTACGCGACCTCCACTCCAGAACCTTACTGCTCCACTTCAGCTTTCTAATCCGTCGGGCTATGTCAGCGACTTTAGTTCGTTTACGGATCTCCTCATTTCTGATTCGATCTCGTAAAGAAACACCGAGCATAGCCCTCTCCATAGCACGCTGTGCAACTTTGAGCTTATGTATAAGGCCTATAGTGAGAGGCCACGTTTCCGAACCATAAGTCATCACTGGTGGTAACACACATTGGTTGTAGACTTTAGTCTTCAGGTAGGTACGTGGCCTGTTATAGCTGAGCTATTAAAGAATAAAGATTTTCTAAATTGCACCCATGCAAAACCGGGGCGAGTCGCTAGTTTTTAAATGATTGTGTGTAAGTAATTGATGGTAATATGGTAGCGTACTAATTTTACAGCTGAATTTTTACGGTTGAACGACTTCAAAACAGATAAGTACTGCTGTGGTGCGTTTGCACGAATATGCCAAAAATGGCTCGCAGTGATCACATTTACTTTTTAAGACAGGTTGGTCATATTTGTTAATTTATTATTGTTTATTTATTAATGTGTTCTTATATTTGTTAATGTTTATCAGTGTACGGCTTCTTCGTGTCCAATGAATTATTTTATTTATCAGAGACATTGTACACACGGCCACACTGTTAACTATCCATTTCCGTTTTTGCTCTCGCTCTAATCAAATGGTGATTCTTTGCAATAGAACGAGATGACATGACTGGCAATGGGCAGTTAACACTGTTGCCGATAGGACGTCGTGCGAGTGCGACTCACCGGTATAATAGTTATTTTATAAATCTAGATTCTTAGCACTCAACTGGTAATTGAAGAAGACTATCGAAATCGATAAGACTGGGTTATCCATTGTTTTTGGAATACTAAGTTTAAGAAATAGTGAATATTCATCGTCCTTTTGCCTCTGATAAATGAGGAAAACACGGGACTAGTTCCACCTGTCGTTCCCACTGCTGAAACTCCCTTGTAGCCAGGATCTACATTCTACAGCTTTACCGATTTGATAAATAAGGAAGTGTAGTGGAGTCTTTGGTGATGATAATGATGAACATTATTTGGTGATGACTTCAGGCGTTCGTCACCTTCACAGTATGCGTGCAGTCAGTGGGCATCGGCATCATGCTGGGTTTTCCAGCCATCCTGAACCCTGCGATCGTGGACCCGGATAGCGACATCAAGGCTTCGTCCAGTGACGCATCTTGGCTTGGTAAGTTTGTTTTAATAATTATATACAGTAGCATAAAACAGTAAGGCACGTAATTCTTTGTCATCACTACTCGGTTCCAATACGGGATATAATATGTAGATCGTTTTATCCACGAAGAAGCGCTCCACCATTCTTCTGCTAATGTTTGAGTGTTATCGGTACACGCTAAATCATCCATGCACACGCACACTACAATAATGACGCTCGGATTGCTCGAATTAAACTCCCTGGACCCCGCGCTTCCCTCGACCAAAAATTGGTGAAGCGGGTCTTCGTGGATGAAACGATCTATATTCGGTTCCAATACGGGATATCTTGCTCGTGAGTCGTGATAGAAAAGCTGAGCAGCCTTGCGTGGCCTTACCCAGGAGTCACTCGTGACATGACGGCCTTTTAGGGTTCGGTCATTGTATATTTTACTCAGTATATCTAATGCGTCAATCCATCCATCTATCAGGTAATGAAAATCAGCTTATGTGAACATGTTTGTTGCCTTTTTCAGCATCAATCCTTGGAATGGCTGGAGTAATCGGTTTCTTCGTCCTCTCACCATTACTGCAGACTGCTGGACGTAAATGGACGAACATCCTCAAGAATTTAATAATGGGCATTGGCTGGATCATATTTTACTATGCAACCTCTTTACCAGCATTATACGCCGCCAGATTCATACAAGGCGTTTCCATGGGCGGCATTTATATCAACGTCATTCTCATTGGAGAGTACTCGGACCCTGATCGCAGAGGTTACTATACAGCATTCCAGAAAGCTTCCTTATCAGCTGGAACGTTATTCTGCCACGCCATGGCTCTTTCTTTTACATGGAGAGACGTCGCAGCAATCGCCATTATACCACCCATGTTGGCATCAATACTCACATGCTTCTGGCCAGAGTCACCCTTCTTCTTAGCCATGAGGGGACGTTTCGACGAATGCGAGAAGTCCTTCCACTGGCTCAATGGGACGAAAAGGAATCAAGAACTGAAGGATTTGATATCTTCGCAACGAACAAGGATAGAACAAGAAAAATACGATCAACGAACCATCAGAAAATGGTTGCATCTGTTATCAAGGCGTGATTTCCGGAGAGCGTTGTTGATAGTCGCCATTTTGACTGTAGCAATTGATTTGAGTGGTCGTAACTTTTTGAAAGCATACATAGTTCAGATCATGACGAGTTTAACAGGCAGCAAAACGACTGGAGTGTATTTCTCTATATTATCAGATTCTCTAGTCATTATAGCTTTGCTGTTATCCAGTCTAGTTATTAAATTTTGCCCGAGGAGAAGGCTCCTTTTCACATTTGGTCCTTTGACTGTTCTCACGCTTATTGTCATAAGTTTGGTGTTATTTTTGAAAAACACTTATGACTTCAATATTTCTCTATGGGTCGGGCCGTGTTTGATTTTGTTTGTGAATATTGTAGTACACATGGGAGTGAGTCCGGTAGGATTTGTGATATTTGGGGAGATATTCCCTTTGGATTTGAAAGGTTTTGGCTCTTTTTTCAGTGGGATTGTGTTCACAGCTTCGTACGGTACAATATTGAAGCTAACACCAGTTTTGATGGAAAGTTTAGGTGTAGAAGGCGCGTATTTTATTTACGGATGTTCTTTGGCTGTATGTTTAGTTTTATTATTTTTCATTTTGCCAGAAACTAAAGACAAGACTTTATCAGAAATAGAAAGTAGATTGAAAGGTGAACCGAAAAGTGTTTGTGAAAAAGAAAACACCTTGTTGGGCGTTAGTTAACCTGTAAATTTTAGTTTGACTAAATATATGTAATTCTTAGGGAAACTTAGTGACTAAAGACTGTAATAAGTTATTTTAACGACTGTCTAATGTATTTGCAACAAAGATCAATGATCCAAACCATATAATTAAGCGAAACATCCATCTTCACACGTTTTAGTGATAGTGACGTTTCTTAGCACGTGCTTAATATGCTTATTTATGTCACAAACACCTTGAAAACACGTGATAGATATCTTTAATTTTATTGTTAAATATTTATTATAAGAACACAAAAAAAAACGTTTAAAAATGTTGTATTTCGCAGATATACAGGGTGTCCCGAAAATAATATTCCAAACTTAAGCAGATGACAGACTAATCAAATGGATGACCATCTATAAAAAGTATCACCATTTCAGGTATGATTTTTTCATGTTTTTTAATCCTCAATTTTGAGCTCATGCTGCTGAGTGTACCAATGAGCAGATAATTTTCTTATTCGTCTTGAGAAATATTGACTGAAATAGTGATACTTTTACTAAAGTTTTTTTTAGTCCATTAGCTTACCATCTTTAATTTGGCACGCTCTTTTTTGGACACCTGTATATTTTTTTAGTTTACATGTTAGTATAAAGTCACTCCCGCTGTCTGTACGGTTAAACATTTAACTTCGTAATGGATTTTGATGCAGTTTTCGGAAATAGACAGAGCGATTCAAGAGGAAGGTTATAATGTACCTACTCGTATAATGTTTATCCACACGGGGTGGGTTAAATAATTGAATTTATAACTTAACTGCGTCTAATTCTATTGGTCTAAAGCTAAGTCTTAATTGTTATTTACTGGATGGGAGTTGAGAGATTGAATTCCGCAAACAGTTCAACCCTCAAACTTGGGAGTAGTGCTGTCCAATAGTCGATAGTTTTCTTTATCGATAGTTTGATATCTTTTTATACTTACGACAGCGACATTGACTGGACTGACACAACAACGATCATTATTGTGTTGCATTTGCTGTCATCGAATGTGTTAGTGCCACAAAATAAACTTTACAAGATGACTGAGCTTGTTTTTCCCTTATCAGAACCAGCCGATATGTTCTCCCAAAGTGGAGGTAGGTACATAATGCAAGCCAATTATATAATAATTGTTATAAATAATTTGAATTTGAAGAATAAAGTGGTGCTTGCAGCAAAAACGGGAAGAACGGCGAGCGCAAAAAACTGTAGAAATAATATAGTTTCTAAGAAATATCGACAATTCAACTATTGACTGATAGCCAACACTATAAAAGTTACAAACTGGAATGATTTCCTCCGTAACGTCTCATTCTGAATAGTTTCGTTAACTAAAGTATTTAGCCCTTTACAGTCATTTTACAGTTTTGGCGTGAATTTAACTGAAACTCATTTAAATGGAGTTACATTTGAATTGTTTATTTGACTAGATTAGATATTTAAGAACGTTTTTCATTAATGTTGATTGTTATTAGGTAAAAATAAAACTTTTACGTATTTTCCCATGTAAATGGGATATTTATATGTTTTTATATAGATAAGAACACGTAAATTTCGTGTCTTTTGTTTTTTTTTCTTGTTTTGTGTTGTCGAAATTCCAAATGAATTTAACAAATTGATAAAATGGTAGATTGAACTATTTTTATTTCATCTAATTTTACATTTATGTATCTTGTATTTTCCCTTTATTTTGTTTTGACTGTAGTTGATTAGAAACCTAATAATATGATAATTAATTCGCTCTATTAATTAATAATACATCAATTCACTTATAAATAGACAGACTTTTCATACAAAAGGCGCATCAAGGAACATAATTATATTTATGGGAATCCATATTAATGTAACACACATTAATGGGTAACGCAATCCAACCATAGTGATAGCGGCCTTAATGATCAATGGGGTATGGCACAAAAACATAATTAATTAAGGAGAACCCTATGATTGTCATGCAGGATCTATAGTTCCACGCGTAGATTCTTCGTTTTAGCAGTTCATAAAATAAATGTGTTGCTTTAATTCCCACCATAACGCTGTAAATAAATAAGAAATATTACTTAACACGTCTTTTTTTTGGTCTCCATAGAACTCTATAGCTTTAAATCTCAAGAAAAAAAAGCTTGTTTTTAAAAAAGTTTATTTTTATTATAATTTTATTTTACACTTTTTAGTTATATCTTAATCTCAGGACCCTGGACGTTATCTAACACTAAAGTGCTCGAAAAGACAAATCCAACGAACCCAAACTCGATGAGTTTCCGCCGTTTTGTTTAGGAGTTCCTATGGCCACCTCCCGACTCCATCATCAGACCAGCTCAATGGTACCATAATATTGCATTGTCATCGGACTTACACATGTATGCAAAATTTCAGCTCAATAGGAAACCGGGAAGTGGGTCAATTTTAAGTTGCAAGATTTGACGACAGACACCAGACATGTGAAAGTAATAAAAAGCTTGTAATAATAAGTTAGTGACTGACAGACGCGCAGCATAGCCTTATCCAGACAAGGTTAAAATATGTTCTATTTCTTCAAGACGTTTATGGAACCCTAAAAAAGCTTAGAGACTAAACTAAGTATCTAGTTCTATTTTTAAATAACTTTTATTTTTGTATCAAAGTCTAAAAACAAAGGTTGACTTGACGCCTTATTTTAAGTGATTTTGCACCTATTTCCTTTTAGTTGAATCAAAACGCGTCAGCTTGTGACTTGGTGTATTCTGAAGCAGAAATCATCTGAGGAAAAATAATTAATGATGCGTGGGTTTATTTGTTTATCTTTACACCTTGCACTACTTACTCAGGCATTAAGAATGAATTTATCCCAAAGGTAATCAATTTGAAAACGTAGCAGAAAAGAAAAAGGAGCAGGAATGCGCCTCTACCAATCGGACGATTTCGAAATCATAGGGGGAGGCCTTTATGTTCAGCGTCCTGTGGCTGTAGTGATGATGATGATGATGAATCAATATGAAGAGAATAATGATTGCAGTTTTCGGAGAACGTATTAGGATTTTCAATGTTAGCTTTCACAATGTTCCTAACTGTGTGTAGGTACTAGACTTTGTTGCAAAATATTGCATCTAATTTTTAATGTCCCAGCTTCTAAAGCTAAGTATACACTTTTAATCAGTTACCATTATTTTATATTATGCATGAATAAGTAAATAAAAATTGTCAACATTCTAAAATTGTCTCATTTCTCAAAACAATAAAGATAAAACATTTCCAGAACGGTCACTCTACACCATGTTCTAAACCCAGCGACAGTAGATATATCTACACTTTCCGAATTTCAGTCGCAACACGCACAAATCTCGGAGTTAGCAGTCCCAGCGCTATTGTCTCTGAGTGGCTCAACTCGAGGCACTCGTCATTGAACAGCCCGGTCTGTGAGGAGTTAGCGGACGTATTCTGGTAAAACATGTTAATATTCTTTCGATTTTTTATGGTATTTTTATACTATCAAGAGAGTCAACCGTGAATTGAAATAATTTTTAAAGCAAAATGATCATAACTAAGTCGACGAGGTGGAAAAACTATTAAACTACTCATAGACTCCCCTCATACTACTTATTTAAAGACTTTTAGTCGGCCGATAGTTGGGTTCACAGTCAGGCAAGGTCGAGCGTTCAAGGTTCATGAGACCAAGATCTAAAACAAAAGTTACCAAGTCAAAGTCACCTTGCTTCGAGATGGCACCGACTACCAGAATCAAGCAAGGTTGAGCGTAGCAAGGTTCATGAGACCTAGATCTCGACGACGAAAAAAAAGCTAAAACAACGACATTCCACCAGCTCGCACTATGCGTTTCGATGACTCTTATAATGCGAACAGCTAGGGACTGGAACTCGCTGCCTGCTGCTGTCTTTCCTGAACACTGTAATCCAGGCCTTTTCAAGGCGAGAGTGAATAGACAAGTGTCTAGTGGTTTAAGAGTAGTCTAGGATGGTAGGTACATATGTGTCCTGTAAGTACAGCAGACATGTACCATCCTAGACTGCATCTCACTTGACACCAGGTGCGATTGCGGTCAAATACCTGCCTTGTCTTGCATAAAAAAAAAACAAGTTACCAAGTCAAAGTCGAAGTAACATCGCTTCGAGATGGCAAGCTACTAGAATAAGGCAAGGTCGAGTGCTTCAAACTGCCTTCATCCGTCGATGACTTCTTGCTCCACTCGACGAGTTTAATTTGCACGTTTATAAAAATCCACTTTCCATCAAATTTTATTAAAATCACGCCTTTGGAAGAAGTGTGCCATTAAAATTTTACGTGTACTTGGTAAAAGATGACTGAGTTAATTGCTGTACGAGTTACTACGCCACTATAGCTAGTTTAGTTAGATACTTGCTTAGTCTTTTTAATTTAAAAGTTAAAATTTTTAAAGGTATTTTTTGTAAAGTGTTTTTAGAGAGTCTAATTATTACCTTAGATTTCAGGTATACGTATGCCGTAAAATTACGAGTATTATCTACTTTTATCATCATAAACGTCATTGAGTTAATTCAGTGTCAGGAAGAAGACCCCCTTCAATTTATCAGACTCAAACATGGAGGATTTGGTCTATATTTTCCACGCTCTGAGCAGATGGGTTGAACTAGTCGGGTAAAATGCTGCCAGTCGTCGCTTGCTCAGACAAATAGAGCGAGCCACAGTCTGGGGCGGGGAGCCGCGAAAGAATGTCTAGGCCGTCTAGCTCGGACAATACCTCGCAGTTCCGTCCCAAAGACTTTGGGAATTGGGAGGACACCGTCAGGTTTTAGTGAGTAGGCCCTGCCCATCTGGCAAGCAGAGCATCAAATAACCCACTGGTTCGGGCCTGTGGGTATGCAATTTCATGCATTTCCTGACGAAATAAAAAGTGGGGTAAAATGCTGGGTATACTTAGTACTTAGATCCCTTACTGTGTCTAATTATTGAAATTCAAACTAATCAAAGCTTCACTCACTGTATTAAAGATAGAATCAACTTTATGCCGTTAATATTGGCGAAAAGAAATTGATGTTGGGACACCTCGAAAACCGTCTAAGTCGTTAATACAAAAAAAAAAAACAATTGCATTGTCCATCTTAATTGAGTTACCAAGACAGTCAGCTCGAAAAAACGTGGCATCTCATTAACGGACGACGTAATTATTCTAATTACGTTCCCTTACCGAGTCGGCTGCTCATCTGGACTTCTTAAATTGCAATTAAAATTGTCGCCGTCTTTTGCTGAATTTTTAGGTATGTAGAGGTTAATTTGTGGAACCATGTTA